AGATTTTACTTTCTTGGGCTCCCTGATCACTGGAGATGGAGACAGCAGCCATGAAATTAAAAGACACCTGATTCTTGGGAGGAAAGCGTTGACAAACCTGGACACCATCTTAAAAAGCAGAGATATTACCTTGCTGACAAAGGTCCACATAGTCAAAGCTATGTTTTTTCCAGTCGTGATGTATGGAAGTGAGCAATGGATGATAAAGAAGGCTGACCGCCAAAGAATTGATGTTTTGAATTGTGGTGCTGGAGGAGACTCTTGAGAGTTCCCTGGACTGCAAGGAGAACAAACCTATGCATTTTGAAGGAAATCAACCCTGGGTGCTCACTTGAAGGAGAGATCCTGAAGCTGAGGCTCCAATACTTTGGCCATCTCATGAGAAGAGAAGACTCCCTGGAAAAGACCCTGATGTTGGGAAAGAGCGAAGGCAAGAAGAGAAGGGGACAACAGAGGATGAGATGGTTGGACAGTGTCATCGAAGCTACCAGCATGAAGTTGACCCAACTCGGGGAGGCAGTGGAAGACAGGAAGGCCTGGTGTGCTCTGGTCCATGGGGTCACAAAGAGTCAGACATGAATTAATGACTAAACAGCAACAACAGCTTGATCTGACAAGGTCAAGATTGGGCTTCAGTTTTTCTTCAAGAATGTGCCTGTCCAGAGTGTAGGTTAACGCTCTTTCTTAGAACAAGACCTTAGTCCCAGATTACCTCATGGGAAACCAGAATGTTTTCACCTCCCCATTACTCAGATTGCTTGTTTCAGGGGTTAAGTGTGCTTGTGGTAGTTGCTGCTTAAAAATAATTATCTGCTAGCAGATTATATTGGTGAATGGTTTTGTTGGCTTGAGTGTTTACTGTTGTGCAGATGCGCCTGGGAGGACCATAAAATGTTACAACATAAAATTATAACATGAATACATTTTTAAAAATGTTTCATATCTTATCTAGTAACTCCATGTGTTAATTGCTCCTGACACTGATGCAAGTGTGTTTACCTGTTCTTACATATTACCAGAATAAAGCATTCTTATAATCAAGGATAAACAGTGCAAAGATCTTAACATCACTCAGTTTATCTGCTCATTCATAGAAGACTATGAAGAAAATTGATTTGTCATGTTAGAATTTTTGCCATCATGTGACTTTAAATGCACGGAACTTCATTTGTCAGCTTTCAGTTTCTTGTGGGTCTATATAATGACAAGAGGGTTTTCACCTGAACATTCTCAGTTTGGAGCCGGAAACAGAAACTTCTGTCTGAGTTGTTGGCTTCTATTTTAAAAAGCCCACCCTTGTATAACCCCCTGTGTCGCCTAGGATCTCAATTTTTAGAACTGCTATTCTGGAGAAGCTGTGGTGGTGTATTGACTCAAACTACCTTACAGCAGCTGAGAGAGAATCTAAATCTGCCTGAGTCCGGGAGCACTGGAAAGAGGCTGCATGGGAAGATGAAATGTTCTCGTGCCACTTCTATGAGCAAAAGAATTAGATGGTGAATTTCTTG